TAGTCTTATGAAAATGTAGCACATAGACTTACGTACTGTCCCAGATACTTGATAATAGCCATTAACAAAATAAACAACTATCATATCACTTGTTTGTATATTTATGCTATATATTTTATTGTTATTTTAGAGTGTACTCCTTTTATTTATAAAAACAAAAGCTTACTGTAAAATAATAGCCATGTTACACCAGCAATAGGCTCCTACATCTCATGTTTACCATGTCCACTGATCACACCAAGAGGCCATATCCCATGTCTGACCTACACTATCGTGGTTTGTGTCCATGAAAGCCGACATGTTTACATATTGACCAAATTGCAGAACAGTGCATTTATCAGAATGTGTCATATGACATATGACTGCATCAAAGCATCACGTGTAGATTGTAAATATATAAAATGTTTATCTTTCAACTAAAAATTCCAAATGAGCTAGCATAATATAAAGGCTTCAGAAATGTGTAATTAACCCAAGCTTCAGGGTAAAATATCTTGGGTATCAATCACATTGTTTTTGGCAATGGTGAACAAAATCCCCTCTAACGAGAAACTGTATGAAGAAGAAATATATTGAACAATGAGAAAACGTGTCACCCTATACCAAGAATAAGGAATTGTCCCCTCCAACAAGAGGGCCAGAGGTTAGTCCATTGTCCCAGTGATATAGATTGTTTTCAAAATAGAGAGAAGGTAGAACTTCTTTTTATAATAGAATCCTAATTAATAAATGTTAAAGGAATAATTTTTAGAAAAAAAATTTTCAGCTATCATATTAATAATTAGCTCTCAATTGAGAAACATCAATGGATACTAATAGCCAGTGGCGGGTTTTATTGAGGATTTGGATATTCATACTGTCTCAGAACCTCCCTACAAAATATTTATTTAAAGCAAAAGAAAAAAATAACCTTATAATGGGAAAATCTGGCAAACACATGCTTAATCAAGTGTTCAAAAGTAATAACAATACTAATGGAACAAATAAAAAAACCTATACTATCTCTTTTAGTACAATGAAAAGTCAACAGCATTACCCCTGTCATATCCTTCCAAAAATGCATATCCTGAATCTAATTATAAGGAAGTATCAGGCCCAATACAACCAATAACTACCCTTTAATATTTTAAAGTATCAGGGTCCTGAACATTAAGGAAAGATCAAGGAAGACCCGATTGAAGAAGACTAGAGAGACAAGACAGTTAAGTGAACTGTGTGATCCTGGACTGGATCTTTGGTTATTGGGACTGTTGGTGACACTGAAGTTGGATCTGAGGGTTAAATGGTGGAATCATGTTTGCTCATTTTCTGGTTCTGAGGGTTGTATTGTGGTCATAGAGGAGAATTTCTTGTTTTGGAATCACACAATGTAATATTCAGGGGTGATGAGGCACTATGTCAACAATACCTTCAAATGGCTTTGTTCTTTTCCTGTAATTTTTTGGTAAGTTTGAAATTCTACTAAAAGAAAAAGAAAATGAAAGCAGGGATATTTCCTTCATAGCATCTGCTTTCATTAAAGAAGAAAAGTTTTCCAAGAATCATCTTGATGTAGAAGCCCCTGGCCAGCTCTCTTGCTGCAAAGGGGGCTGGGAAGTGAGTTCATATCCTGGGAAGTGGGCCCTTAGCAGGAAGAAAGAAGTGGGGTGCAGGTTGGCAACGTGTCGGTAGCCAACAGCGTCTGCCTCTGTCTGAAGCCTCCGTATTTGATCTTGACCATTTGAGAATATTGTGCATTAGCAAACTGAACCATCCAAAAGCCCTACCTTGTTTGTAGTTTAAAAATAAATTCATCACATGTTACCCCATAACATATACATTTATTATTTGTTGGGAGGCTGGGGCAGGAGGATCACAAGTTCGTGCCTAGCCTGGATAAATTAGTGACTTATGGAGATCCTGTATCAAAATAAAAATACTTCCGAAAAGGCTGAGATGCAGCTTAGTGTGAAGGCCCTGAGTTCAATCCCCAGTAGCACCAAAAATAAATAAATAAATGAATAAATATTAAAATTTCATAGGGGAAGCCTTTTGCAAATAATTACAGCATGGAAAAAGCAGTGCAAAACTCCCTGTCAGCCTGGGGTACCATGAGTGCACTGTAAAGGGTGCCTAGAATGTTCCAGGGGAGTGTAAGGCCAGGGAAGCTTCTAAAAGGCAGGAGTGGTGGAGATGGCAGTTGCTCTTTCTGCTCTTTCTGTCATATTTTAACACATACATCCACCTGGATCTGGCCCAGAGTCCCTCTTGGCCACAGTGCCTCTGGAAGAGACAGCAATGATCTAGAGCCTAGGGAACTTCAGGGAAAGGGAACAAACAGCCTGAGTGAAGTGACGGCGGAGAGGCAGAGAAAGTGACACAGGAGCTGCACACTGTTCATTTGGCTTCTGAAAGGAGAGCAGGAAGCAAGGAGGGTTGTGTTCAGGAAAATTAAATTTGTTTTGGTTTTGGTTTTTTTTTTTGTACCAGGGATCGAACTGGGAAAATTAAATTTGTTTTGGTTTTGGTTTTTTTTTTTGTACCAGGGATCGAACTGGGAAAATTAAATTTGATCAAAAGGAAAAAAAGTTTTTACTTTTTTCTGTGTGTGCAACAGGAGCCTGTGATTCTTTGTTGTTTGTGTGATTTGGTTTGGTGTTTTTAAGTCGGGTTTTCACTGTGTAGCTCAAGTTGGCCTAGAACTTATAATCCTCCTGCCTCAGCCTCATGAGTGTTGGGATCACAGGCCTGTGCCTGGCTCTGTTCTTGGAGAGGAGAATGCATGATAAGGCCTGTGTTTCTGAGCAATTCATCTGAAAGTCAGGTCATGGCAAGGAGACTCACTAAGAGACTGTCATCAGCCTGGGCAGAAAATGCAGGAGGTAGGACACAACCTGGGGGATGGCAGGAAAGAGAGGCTGGAAAGAGAAGCCCAGAGAAAGCTCAGGGCTCCACATGTAAGGACTGGTGTCAAGAATAGACAGGAGGAAGGCAGGAGCAAGGTCTGGGAGGTGCTCAGTGGGATTTGTGCTGGACCATCAGGCTTTCCCAAAAGGGCATGACCCAGTTGATACTCAGGCATCATGCTGGATCTCCAAAGTGGAGGGACCATGTGTCCAGTGACCAACCTGTCCAGCTATCACCAGCAATGCCTCCATCGCTCCTAGGACAGAGATCTTCTTTTTGTCATCTATGAGGCAGGAGCTGGGTCCACTGTCTTCCCTCACTGACCACCTTCATCGCCCCCAGCCCTCTGCCACGTAGATCTTCTTTCAATCCTACCTGTCCATGGGCATGTGGATTACTGTCATACAGCACAGTAAGCAGGCATTGAATGAACTGGTGCAGTTTCTGCCACCAGACCTTTACATGTGTCATTCATGTATGAATCCTTAACCACTGTCCCCTCCCTCTTCCCTGACGCAGCATCAGTTTATCCTTTGGATCCCATTTCAAATGCCACCTTCTCTTGACACATCTCTTGATATTCCTAGCTAGGTCCAATCTCTCTTTTATGTTCCATAGTATCATGAACCTGCATTAAATAGCATCCACAGTAGCTATAATTTTTACATTGACTTTGGGGAGTATTTGTCTGAAGCCCATCTCTCTCAGACTATAAAGTCCACTGGGCAATGGCTATTGCTCTTTTTCAGGCATGCTGTGTCCCCTGTATTCAGCGTGAGAGTTGGAACTCTGTAGTACTTAGTAAATATTTGTGGGAAAGGTACATGGATAGGTGACTATTCCAACTGTGCTTCAGAGAAGTGCCTGAGGAGCAGGTTGTACTTGAGAATTATCTTATAGAACACATAAAATTGGAACAGATAGAGTTGATAACCAGGCCAGACTGAGCAGAAGCCTGGGGTAGGGGCTGTGGAGGCTCATCAGAAGCCTCTAACTGTCCAAAGAGACAAATATTTAGAGAAATAAAGTTGTAAGAAATAAGAAACCTAATCAAGTTTGGAAAGATTCAGATTTGCAAGTGAAGATTCTGTTCTTAACAGGCAGTAGGTAGCCACGGAGCTCAGGTAAGGGCAAAGAGGTACTCAACACTTGGCACTTGGCTTTGAGAAGACAGAATGCCCACAAATTGAGCCCAGCTGGAGCGGGGTAAGGGGAAGATGGGGGCAGAAGACCACCACGGTGAGAGAGACTGGAAGTATTTCATCCAACTTGTGGATCACGAGCATGGGAATTATAAAGCATGGTGAAAGCAAACTTTAGATGGCAAAATTAAAGACACATGGCAACTGATGGAGAAGTTTAAGAAACAAGACTGTGTGACTGAATGTGAGCTCCTAGGACAGTGATGGTGAACCTCTTAGAGCTTTCAATGATAACAAGTAGCCAGCTGTGGCACGCGTGCCATGGGCTCCCTCCTCTGTTCTAAGACCCCTGTCATTCTCAGCTTTATATCCCCTATAAAAAATGATAGGGTTGTTTTCTTAGGCATGTGGGAAGGAAATTAATTTGAAGGATGAAAATACCGAGAGAGACCATAAGAGGGAGAGAAAATCTGTCCCAGTGATATGTTCCACCTGGCTCACTCAGTGGTCTGTTAGCAACACTTAAGAATTGGGAGATTTCTCATAGTCTTTATTTTTAAAGATTTGTGCACATTGGCCACCATGGCCATGTGGTGGCTGTTGGTTGAGCCTAAATGGCTTTGTCTGGCAGCTCCTGACTCCACCTGCTCTCCTTACGGATGGATGGCTCACTCATGGCCTGTCTGGCTCTGAGGGTAGCTGAGTGAGGTCCTCCACTCAAACAAGTTCACCAGAGGAGGCCGCTCTTCGGGGTTCCATGGAACAGGAACACAGATTTCCCTCAGGGATCTGGGAGCATTTGCAGCAGGGGACCTGGCAGGAAAGTTCTGTTCTGAGAACCTGGATGCCGGTGGAAATCTGGAAGACACTGGTGAGGGCTGCTTCCCGCCAGCACTAGCCTGTGCAGGATCATGGGTTAAGTGAGTGTTGCAAAAGTCATATCCATGGTGTAAGTCATTAAACACAGGTGTATGTGAAATTCAGAAAACTTTTATTGATAATTTTATCATGCCAAAAAGTTGTTTATTTAAAATTCAAATTCCACTTGAGAAAAAGAGGCAACAAGTAATAGTTGGGGTCCCAGCCTGTTCCTGGAAAGGCTCCCATGTCTACAACAAAGCTTGAACATCCTATAGCTACGTGACTGGGTCACTCAGATTGCATTCTGGAAATTCTCCCTGGTGCTTCTTTGCAGGATGCTGTTTGTGTCTTTAGTCGGTTGTAGTTGGGAAAGAACGACAGCAAAAAGAAATCCATCCTAAGACTTCTTAAAACATTTCTGGTTTTACAACTACTGCCCTCAAGGATCTACCACCACTCAACCTAGAATATATATATATATCCCCACTTGAAAGACATTACAGGTGATGTTGCTTGCTGGTGATTACATCAGCCCCTTGGGATGGTCTCAGCTTCTGGGTGGGATCCCATGGATTCTGAAGGCAGGGAGTCCTTCAGGAGCGCTTGGACTTGCTGCAAGTGGGGCACAAGAGCTGACCCTTGGTGACAATGTACGCCCGGCCACTCAGCAACTGCTCACAACCTTCGCAGACAAAGTGCTTCCGGTGCCAGGCGAGCTCTTCCACACGCTGGTAGTCCTCTGAGAATATAATCTAGAAGAGGGGCAGGAGAAATGAGTGACTCCATTTTTGTTCACAGATAGAAATACAAGTCAGGGGATGGGGGTTCATCCCATCCCATTCTTATTTTGGTCTTTAGAGGCCTCAGTGGAAAAATCTGACAAACTCTGGGGCAATCAGTATAGTATTTGGTGAGGGTCATGGTTGCATCTTACCTTCTCAGATTAAAAAAAAATCCTCCAGCATAGGCAGGTTTTATTTATCTAGCATCTGTGATAGCTTTTTTTGAAAATCCAAAGGCCAATTGAGTTCTGAGATGGAATGACACAATCCAATGAAGACAGTTTAATAACAGATAAGCTGCTGATGGCTAATCTTTGAGAGCAAGAACACAGAGGGCCCCTGGGCTTGGACTAAAGTGGCATTTCGGAATATTCCCACAGTGAGAACCCAGAGCCTTAGGAAGAACAGAATAGCAAACTGGTCACATGGGCCTCTGACTTTGGAGTCAAGAGGAACCGGCTATGAGTTTTCACTAGATATTTGTCAGCTTCATGGGCAAATTTAATCTCTGTGCCTCAGCTTCCATATCTATAAAATGGGGACACAAATACTTGCCACCTACAGGGTTTTAAGAGTCCAAGATGAGCTACTGCACATGAAATAATTGGAACAGTGTCTGACTCAACATCAGCCCCATGTAGTTATTATTGACCCTTCTTAACTGCCCTTTTCTCAAATGTAAAATGGACATCATGTTATTATGTCTCAAACGGGATACTATGAGATATGCACAGCATGTTACCCCCCAAGGATGGAGCTCATTATTGACCCTAGTACATGACGGGGAACCCTGACTGCACCCAAACGATGGTCCCCTCAACAGTGAAGTTACAAGCAGGCCTTTCCCTTCTTAATATCACGAGGTCACACAGTCATGAGGTAAGAGGGCCGTGAGCCTTGACTTCATATGGAGACCATCGTGGGGAAGGTGGTAGAAGGCAAACTTAGGCCCAGTGTGGAGCAGACATCTCACACCCTCTAAAGACAGAGGCAGTGTGCCTTCTGCTTCCAGACACATGCCGGCACAGCTCACTGTCATCAGAACTGGCACTGCAGGACTGACCTAGTTCAGAGTGCCTTCTCATCTGCTCCCATATCAGGTCCTTGGAGACCTTTCACCTCAACTGCTATGCAACTACTATGGTGTGTTCCATAAAGGTGTATGACCATGTGTAGGATGGATTATATCACACCATGGCAAGACAACTGTAGCTACCATCTGTTAGTCACTTAGGCAGCCAGGGCCATACATGTTTGTTCATATAGGCTCTGACTTACCTGACTGGGCACTCCTTGGGCTGGGTAGTCTTCTCACTCCCACTACAGAACCAGTGGCACCAAGGCACAGGCTTTAGTAACCACAAGGCTCAGACATAGCCGCAGGGGTGAGCCTGGTGCAACCTGGGGCCCTTTTGAGCACTTGCTAAATGCCAGGCACTGTGCCATGGCCCAGACTTGACAGCACTGTGTGTCAACCCCACTCTGACCCCATGTGAGGGCACCAGTGTCAGCCCCATTATGCAGATGGGAGGATGGAGGCTGAGGGTGGCCAGTGAAATGTGCCCCAGTTTCCCAACCTGAGGAGCAAGTCATGGACAAAGCCCCAGTCCTCCAACCTCGCCCTGCCCACCTCATCGCAACCTGAGCACCGTGGCCGCAGGCTCTCGCAGTAGTGGCGGCCACACCAGGGCGCACCGTCCTTCCAGAAGTAGATGAGGTCCACCAGTGGCTCGGAGCACTGCGCACACACAAAGCAAGCTGGGTGCCACTGCTTTCTGTAGCCAGCCCTGTCCGCATAGACCACAGGGCTGTCGCTGGAGGCTGCGCCCTTGCAGAGCTCGCAGACCTGGAGGGTGAGGGAGGAACAAGCACACAGATGCAAGTTTGCAGGGAGAGTGGGACAAGGGTTTGAATCTCGCCTCCACCATGCTGCTTCCTACGTGACTTTGTGCAAGGTAACACATCTTTCTGGCCCTCAGTTTTGTCCTCTACAAAGGAGGATAACAGTGTCTTTTCCCTAATCAGTTGTGAGGACTCAATAAAGTTACTAATTTATCCCTCTGCCTCTCAAATCTCATGAGTCTCAATATTCTCAAACACTATAGAGACTCCCAGAAAGATTTTGTTCACATGGGTAACAGCCACTGGTATTTACCGTAAGAGAAGCTGAAATGGAACAATTTAAATATTTATTAATTCATTTAATAATGACAAAAAACATACAACATGCTAACACAAATATCTTATTACTAAAAATAATGGGATTGGGGGGTAGCTCTGTGGTAGACCACCTGTCTAGTATGCATGAGGCTCTGGGTTCAATCTCCAGCAATGCAAAAAACAAAAGAAATCCCTGAGAAACCAAAACCACTGTATCTTTTAAAACAAAACATTTAATACATTGTTTAAAAAATATATGCAAGAACCATACAGTGAAAACTACAAAATAGTGCTGAGTGAAATAAATGGCGAACTAATGTGAGGTGTGTGGATCGGAAGGCTCAACATTGTTATGAAAGCAATCGCTCTGGAGCTAATTTACAGATCCAACCTTCTCCCCCCAAAAACATTCTGGGAGGCAAAAAACAAAATACAAAACTTTAGAAATTGCTTTATGGTTTTATAAATCTTTTTGATGACTTGCTTAAGACAGCTGGGTTCTCATGACTACTTCTGCATTCCATCTTGGGCACTGTGTCACTGGTTGAAATACATGAAGGGTATCTGACTTCACACTGATGCAAAGTTGGACAAGGAAGGGAGGAGTATTTGAATAGCCTTCCGAGATCACTGTGCAGTGGTAGCTTTCCGAAAGATAGCTGCAATGTGGAATCTAAAGTCATCAATAATAAGCAATGAATCTTTCATAATAGGTTATAATAAAATAATAAGGTTATAATAAAATGTTTGTCACCTTGTCCTTTGAATGGATCTTTTTCCCATGCATGATTATTTTTAATAAGCTTGTAATTTTTGAATATTTTTAGATTTATAGAAAAATTATAAAAGTAGTACAGAGACCATTCACATATACCAGTTTTCTCTGTTTTTAACGTATTACATTAATGTGGTATTTCATGTTTAGCTAACCAATATTGATATGTTATTATTAAATAATGTCCAAGCTTTGTGCAGACATTCTTAGATTGTACGTGTTGCCCTTTTCCTAGTCACACATCCCACCCAGCATTCCACAGCATTCCATATGCACGCAGTCACCTGTCTCTTTAGGCTCCTCTTAGAAGGGACAGTTCCTCAGACTTTCCTCACTTTTGACAGCTCCCCTGACAGTTCTGACTGCTCATCAGGTACTTTGTATAATCTCCCAACTGGAATCTGTCTGGTGTTGTGCTTACACTGGGAGGAGGAGCCCAGAAACAAGCTGCTCTTGACACACATGCTATCAGGTTCTTGCTCTCCCCACGATTCATCACTGCTGACACTGACCATGACCCTCAGGGCCAGAAGCACAGCTGAGGCAGTGCTTATCAAGTCTCTACACTATAAAGTAACTCATCGCCCCTTTTCCATACAGTCCTCTTAGGGAGAAAGCCACTAACAAGGAAGGAGAGCCCCACCGCCTGGAGGGCAAAGTATCGCATGAATTATTCAGGGTCCATTCATGATTTTGATCTCATAGCTCTCCCAGGACTTTGGGAACCACTCATTGTCCTATTTACTCTGGACTTGGCCAGTTTTGGCTGGCATTATTTCTGGATGTCTGTGTGAAATGGGTATATTCCCTGAGGGCCACTCTGCTGCCTCTAGCTCTCTCTCCATCCCTTTACGCAGGAATGTTTCCACTGCTGGCTCAGGAACAACACAGGGAAGTCACCTCGGGCTGCTCCTGAGCCTGAGTTCTGGTAATGATTTTGTGGGAAGAGTGAGCCTGGAAGAACTGGAGTGTGAGTGTCCAAGGTTTCTCCCTCCCCAGTCCCCACAGAATGCTCATTCCTTCCTTCCTGTCTTTATGACTCGCCTGTTTCTGTCTGCTGAAGGACAGAAACTTGACAATGTTACTTCAAGAAATCTTTTGAGCCACTGGAGTCCATTTCTGCTCCCCAAAGTCTCGGTGAGGAGGAGGCTATCACGCCTTTGGTGCACCTATGTGCACCTGGGCTCAGGACCACACAGTCAGTACTAGTGCTCCTTACATGAATCCAAGTGACTTCTCCTTGTAGAATTATTTCTGTATTATAGAAACCGTTCTTTCCCCTCCTAGAGATGATGAAACTGAGGCTCAAAGAGCTCCAAAATTTGCTCAATAGCACAAAGCAGACAAGAGGCAAAGCCAGGACTGGAACCTGACCCCAAAGCAAAGTCTATTACACAATGTGGCTTTCAGGTCTGGGGCCTCCAGTGGAGTGAAATGTCTCCTCCAAAGAATTCAATTTTTCTCATTAGTAGATCTGAAGGATTTTTAAAATAAAGCATTTTGCTTAATTGTCATATTTTAAATTCTACAAATATTTTTGCAAATAAAAATGGAAACTTATTCTCTCTCTCTCTCGTTCTATCTCTCTGTCTGGTGGCACTGGAGGTTGAACTCAGGCCCACTGAATTACATCATCAGCCCTTTTTTAAAACTTTTTTTACTTCAAGACAGGGACTTGCTAAATCTCTTGGTTGGCCAGGCTGGGATCAAGCTTGCATCTGATTCTCCTGCCTCAGCTTCCTGAGTGCTAGGATAACAGGCATGGACCACCATGCATGCTTTGTTTTCTTTTACACAAAGTGCCTATATGAGATCGTTCATTTTGGCTCCTGGTTCACAATGCCTGAAGTATTTACCACTTGAGCCTCTACAGAAATGTTTGCTGACCTTGGCCTACAGATGGTATTTTGAGCTTAATAAGCACCAAAATAGAAAGCAATTGTTCTGCCATGTAAAGACGGGGAGGTCGACCTCTGGAGGGTCCCCCAGAGGCCTGTGTGTTAGAGGCTGGGCCTCTAGTCCATGTGCTGTTGGGAGGTGTGGAACCTACAAGAGATGGGCCCTGGTAGAAGGCAGGGCATGGTGGGGCACTGGTCCCTTCAGCCCATTCTGCTTCCTGGCTGCTACAAAGTGAACGGCTGTGCTCCATAACTGCTTAGGCCATGTGTCCTGGGCTACCATGGGCCCAAAGGGTTGAAGACAAGTGACCATGAACTGCAGCCTCGAAAACTGTGAGCCAAATGAAACCCTTCTTTTTGTAAGTTCATTATCTTAGGTATTTGTTACAGTAACCAAAAGCTAACACATAGTGAAACAGTATTCTTAACTTACATACTTTAATATATTTTTAATATACTTAATATTACTTAATATTCTCTTGTATACCAAAAAGGAAATAGTTAAAATGGTGAAAACTAGGAAAAGAAAACTAAATGACAAAGAATGCTCAGGTGCTGGTCACAGTCCCTGAGCACCATAGCTATTCCATGGGTGTCTGAACACGGTGAGTCTGGTCAGTGGGGAGAGGCTCCCCGCTATCAGCTGGGACCCCCGAGAACAGGCTAGATTTGGGGCTTTGGCACTGCCACTGAGGATGGATGGCACCATGCCTCACCTACATATGATTCTCCTTCTTCTCTGCATGCCTAGAACCCTCAGAGGTCTAAACCAAGGGATGGTTCACACCCATTTCCACATCCCATCAGCAGAGCTGGGGACTGTGAGCTACTTGGCAAAGGCTGCTTGAGCGCAGGTGAGTTTTCTGCCTGGCTGGCTCTGGGATTCAGAGAGTGCGATTTCCAGTCCCCTTCCTCCCACACTGAAGGCACTCACTGTTGCTCCACAGAGCTACACCCTGCCAGGCTGCATCTGGATGGATCAGTGCAGCCCGATCTATGCTGCCACATGCTGCCTGATTTGGGAGCAGGGAAACAGAGGGATGTAAATGTACCTTGGCATGTCTGGGAAATGGGGCAGGCACCCAGCGACAGACAGAGGGGAGAAGGGGGGATGAGGTCAGAAGGGCAGCTCTGGCAATTGCAGGAGTGTGAATCCATGTTGGGAGCTAGAAATTCACTCTGGAGCCATTGTGGATTCTTGAAGGGAGGAGTGTGATGTTCTGATTGGACCTGCAAGGAGTTAACTGGTGGCAGGCAGTGTGGAGGGAGAATGCTTTGCTTCATAGAGCTTGGTCTCAACCTTCCTCTTGGCCCTGTGTCCCACAGCTGGCTCATTTTGGCAAATAGGTCAGGCAGCGAGCCCTGTAGACTCATCTCAGCAACCAATGTTCTCCCCCTGCCTCTGAGCTACTTCCTGTGCCCATTTCCTGTTGTCCAAAAGGATGAAGGATCTGAGGTTGTGCTAGGTCTCTCAGCCCAGTGACCCCTCAGCCACTAGGTGCAAGCTGGTGACCCAGAGTCGGCATGTCAAGCCTGACTTAATTCATCTCTTACCACAAGCCTGGCACCCAGGCACAGTTTCTACACCCCAGTGGATGATCAAGAGAGGAGCTCCTGAGTCAGGCTGCATGGGTCCATTGCTGTGTGACCTCAGCAACCTCCCTAACCTCTGTGTGCCTGCTTTTTCACTTGTCAAATAGGGACACTGATAACAGCAACAGAACCAGGCTGTGCATGGACTGAATGAGATGATGGAATCACTGGACTTCTGAAGGGCCGATAATGAAATCACCTGTTATCCTCGCCACAGTCCTCCTTATAGTCTAGCAACTTAAGGCTCAGAGAGGTTAAATCACTGTCCAAAGATGACAAAGACATGCTGCTGGTGGGCCTGAGCCCTGGATTTTCTGACAGCACACATGGACTGCCAGAGCTCAGCCTTCCCATTCTTGAGCTCGATTCCTACAGCAGGTTCCCTCTGTGCCAGGCCGGAGGTTGTTGCACAAGTCTGCT